TGTGTTTGAGTCCCATAATTTAAACAATGGAATTTTATAGGAAAAAAAACGAGCTTTTATTTAAGCCTACTTTAAAAAAAATTAAAAATACCGAAATTCGAGAAAAATCAATTTTTATTTTTTAAACTAAAAAATCATGATAAAAATTTAAAAAAATAAAAAATACTTTTTACCATCGGAAAACGCATAAAAAGACGAATAAAAACCACTACTAAGTTACGTATTTTGTATATATATATATGGGCAGATCCATTACTTTTTGACCAAAAGTTGCGGGGGTGGGTCACCGATTTTGATGCCGATTTTTTCCTCGAAAGTACACTAGAAAAGGAGATGATCCTGAAAATTTGAGCCCGATTCGATCAAATCCGGCCGCTAGATAATTTTTTGAATTTTGAAAAAAATCGATTTTTCAGTCATTTTCAAAAATTTATATCTCAGCTTCTATATAACTTAGAGACTCGTTTGAGGCCGCATTCTTTTCTGTAAACCCTCTACTTTTAAGGAAAAAATTGGTCATTGATTTACACTCAAGTCCGGCTTCACGGCGAGCTGCTAACTAAACCACTATTTTAGAGAAATTTTGCCTATTTTTGAAATGCTGTCATATCTACAGTTTTTGAAGTAGAGGGTTGATCAGCAGCTGATATTTTTTGTTCAGGTATACTCTGAAGAAATCTACTTTTTACTTGATTGCTTCTATTTCGTTAAGTTATGGCCATCTAAAACCGATCGATTTTCGAAAAATCGCCATTTTCAGATAGCCAGAACTTTTGTTTTTCAACTCAAAATCCTTTGAAATTTTCAGGGAATATACTTCATTATATCCTTAAACAACCCTGAAAATTTCAATTTTGGAATAGAAGTGGTTTCTGATTTATGAAGTTTTTAAAATGTCAACTTTTCGATTTAATATGACATTTTTTGTGGTTTTATCATCAATTTGTAAATTTAATGTAAATAATTGATATTTTTTGAAAAATATATTCGAAAATAAGGAGCAAAACGGATTGTTTGAGAAAATTGAGGGAAAAAATTAATATTTTTTATTTTGATTTATTTGTTTAAAATTTTTAAAAAGTAAATATTTGTTTTTTTTTTTTAATAATATATGTTGAATACAAATTTTCAAAGTATTTGAGAACTATCATGTCATGTTTAGCAAATTATACTTTTTTCATAATTTACCGCCAATCTATTAAAAAATTTAATTTAATTTAATTTAATTTTTTTTTTAATATCTAAAAATAACAGGATGTTATATACATATATTCACGGCAAACTGCATATATAACATCCTGTTATTTTTATAACCTATTCACGCAAATGTTACTTCTGTAGTAACTTACGATACGATAATTCCTCCGCGTAAACGGGAGATTTTATAGTAACTATTATGATCGGAAATCAAGAGCCACCGTTGAAAGTAGTGAAAGTTACGTTTCTCTGATTGAGAGACGACGACGTATCTTAATATGAATTACTGTAAGTTACTACAGATGTACTTACTCGCGTAAACATATAGTTCGACAACTTTTACAAGACAGCATGTACGTACGTGTGCAATTTTGGATATACCTTCCTTCTTTTAAAGATCTCCTCGACATCAGCTCTCTGTGGTTAATACTTTATATATTTCACTTACTACGTTTACGCGAGCGTTACTTCTGTAGTAAACTTACGATAATTCCTTCGCGTAAACGGAATTTTCTTTCGCGTAAACGGGATTTTGTAGTAACTTACGATAATTTACTCCGCGTAAACGAGTAAATTATCGTAAGTTACTACAGAAGTAACGCTCGCGTAAACGTAGTAACTGTCACGACGCAGCGACGGTCACGACTGTCAGTACTGTCACACACTATCAATTTCTTGGTTATTATATACTATGTTTACGCGAGCGTTTTACTTCCGTAGTAATTTATACGATAATTCCTCCACGTAAACGGAAGTTCTGTAGTAACTTTATGATAATTCATCCTGCGTAAACGAGTAAATTATCGTAAGTTACTACAGAAGTAACGCTCGCGTAAACATACAGTTTGACAACTTTTACAAGGCAGCATATACGTACGTGTTTGTACGATTTTGTAGATACACCTTCCTTCTTAAAGATCTCTCGGCATTAGCTCTCTACGGTCAATACTTATATATATTTCACTATCTGTCACGACGCGGCAACGGTCACGACCATCACACACTTACACTTATCCTTTTCTAGGTTGTAAAAACTGTCACGCACTGCGACAGTGCACGAGTGCACTCTCGTGTCAAAAATGGGAAAGTGACACACCAGCCGCCATTTTTGTCCGACGTGGACGTTTCTTAAATAACAATGTTCCACATTTGGACTTTGCATCGCAATATCTTCGCTCGTAGGGCACTTAACGGAAAAATAAAGACTCTTATTTATAAATCAAACCCCAAGCTATCGATCAAGCCTACTTAGAAATTAATCCGTTCACTCGTTATTGAGATCTCAAAATCTCGAGTACTCGCAACTCGTGCGTTCGCGTAAAAGAGTCACAATGCGTCTCGCTTCGCGCGTACTTGGCGCGAGACACTACCGTGTCTCTTGATATTGTATTCGTATGTGTATTATTTTTGAGAAACAAGTTGTATTGTATAAAAAGATCAATTCTTCGGAAATATTTCCAAAAAAAGGTCTTTTTATAGAATACAAACAAAAAAAATTTTTTGAAATATGGTTAAGAGAAATAGTATGCAATATTGACAGATAAAGTGTTTGCTGGAGCAACTGCAGGATACTTGTAACGAGTTAACTGACGAAAATGAAATCAATATCATAAAACAGTATGCTATCTATGCAAAACGTTACACGATTACGTTTTACATGTAAGACAACTGCTTTAGATTTACTTTGAACGCGAATTATTATATTTCGAATATTGTATTTAGAAAACTAAACGCGCGGCGAGTTTATAATAAATTTCTTATCGAAATAATTGATCCTTAAACATTTTTCAGTGCTTGTTATATTTATCGCAATTATTTTAATTTTATACCCAATTTGGTCGCGCGTTTTTTACACCTTATTGTCTATAAATGAAACTCGCGCACGTATTTCGCCGCTGCTTGTGACCGAATACTTTGTCGATAAAAGATACTTCTACTTGATATATTTTCATACAAATGCAGCCTTTTTTATTGGGTTAATTGCAATGATAGCGACAGGAACAATGTTCATAGTTTACTTACAACAAGCATGTGGAATGTTTCGAATTACCTGGTAAGGGAATAAATATAAAAACAAATATAAAAGATCTATCAAATTGGAAAAACAGAAAGGCCATTTAATGATGCCAAAAGAATCATTTGCAGTTATCGTATCGCACGTACAATGACACTCGAAATTCTACGAAAAAACAGCTTGCAAAACGAATATTTGATATACAAGGGATTAATTTGTGCTGTGGATATGCATCGCAAAGCTATGAAGTTAGTATATATTTAATAAGCAATATGAATTTTATATATATATATATATATATATATATATATTAGGGTGATTAAAAAAAACCTTTTTTTGTTTTTCGCGACGTACCTCAAAATATCAAAACTTACCTAAAAAAAGAATTTTCCTCAAAATTTTAAGTCGCTACCAGCGATTTTCAATATTTTCGATTAAAAAATCGGTTTTTTTTTTAAATGTTCAAAATTGCATAACTTAGGGAGTTTTAATGATAGAGGCATGAAATTTTCAGGGAATCTTCGTCAATTATTGTAGTTTATGAATATCGAGTTAAAAAATTTATTGGAAACAATTTTTTTACGTTTCTTTTGTTTATAATGAAAAAATAATCGTCTGTAACAAATAGGCCAGCAATCTGGGACATGGTTTTGACTTTAAATTACATCTAGGTAATCCAAAAATACATTTCAATAAATCAAATGTTTGAACATCGGTGAATTTGTTGCTGAAAATTTGTTTAAGCAACAAATTCAAAAAACCACGTTACCCGCATAATGTAGAAATAACGCATGTTATAATCTTTATTTAGGTGTCTGTATTGCATTCCAACTTTTGTTGTCAAAATTAAGTTGATAGAATTATAAATTATCCAAATGTTACATATTGTATAAGTACTTATTGTTCTTTGAAAATAAAATTATTATGACAAATTACAAAAGAAGTAGCATTGTTATTAATCTATTCATTTTTCAAACATGAGTTGCAGTAAAAAAACAATTGCAATTCGTAAAATTGAATGGTGTTATTGTATTAGGCAGAAAAGAAGTTGATGTTGGAACCAAAAATTATTGAATATTTAGCATTTGGATAATTTTTATTTGGGCTCGACCACTCTTCTTCCCACGAGTTGTTCATACTATTTTTCCTAACAAGAGCGTGAAACAGGCCGTTTTTCGCGCTTGTTTTACTATTTCATTTCTCCACAGTTAAGAAATGGCTCCATTTTTCGACGCTTACGTCATCGATGCGAAATGGATCGTTTTGCTCACTCAAAACAAGCGCGGAAAGCGGCCCATTTTACGCTCGCGTTAGGAAAATTCTTTTTTTAGGTAAGCTTTGATATTTTAGGGTGCGTCGCGAAAAATAAAAAAAAAAGGTTTTTTTTATTATATATATATATATAATATATTATATATATTATATATATATATATATATATAAAAATAATTAGGATATAAAATACGCGTATATAATAATATTTTTATTTAAAGATTTTCTAACTCGACAATATCTAGATTTAAAATAATGTTCGCTCTTTCGATAATGACCGGTGTAATGTGCGGAAATTTTAATATTTTTTTGGTAAATACTGCCTTTGTTTTATTATATATACTCATAAATAACAGTAATAAGATTAGTTACTACTAAATGTTTATTTAGACAATTCTAATTAATTGTTATTTTTTTATAATATTGATTTAATTTTTATGACAATTATTACAATATCCATGTATTTTAGATTTTTCAGATGACATCCTTTAAATGTGATATTGAAGAACTCTTATTACGATTAATATTTATGATGTATCTCTTGACTTACATGTTTGTAGGCAACTATATTGCGCCCAAATTATGGATCATAATAATAACGTTTTTGTCACCGTGTAAGGGATTATTTTATGCGTTACAATTATATTATATGAATATCCGTACAACAAATATTCACATATTCGTTATATGGATCACTGTAATAACAAATACATTTAATATACTCGTAGTTTAAGAAAGGTATAATGAAATTGTTTGCAAACACAGATTTTATTTATATTTCTTAATTATTAATTAATCATCACGTAGGTACAACGTTCAGTGGTACGTAGCTCCGTTGCAAATACAAAAAATGATACTGTTTCTCTTGCAAAGAGGTACCAAGTCGTTCACTATGAATATTGCTGGATTGTTTGTGGGATCATTAGAAGGTGCTGCTACGGTAAGAAGAATATCTTTCAAAATAGTGTTGAATGTAAAATATATTTTATAGATAGATAAAAATAAAAAGTTATGTGTTATTATAGTTACTGAGCACGGCAATATCGTATTTCACCGTTCTTCATTCGATGCAGAATTAATGTAAAGCAAATCAATTGATATAGTGTAGTGGAATAATGATAGTGAAGAAACTAATTAGCACACTAAAACAAATTACATACTATAATTTAAAAAGTTGTATTGACTGATATTTTCGATAAAAATGTAAGAACTCTTAATTCTAAGAAAATATGAAAGTGTTTAAAGCAGTAATGTGTTTACAGTAAATTAGCAATAATATATTAATAATTGATATACCGATATACCTGTATATCGCACCATAAAAAAAAAACAATGTCACAACTCAGAAATTCACAATTTTCGGAAGAGAGGAAAAACAAATAATTCAACTTGTTTTTTAATTGTGAGACAACTAAGGGCCAAAGCACATATGACAGTCGTATCGTGGACGTAAGTAACGCACAAGCTTTGACGTATCCTGATTTGTCAGGTCAAGGACTACGACTGTCGTATATTATCGCTACGCCATGTTATGTGCTTTGGCTCTTAAAACGCAATTGCAATTACGACATTTTGTTATAATGAACTTACACTGTCTTTTTAAAAACGTCTGCTGTGATTCACTTGTCAATTCACTTATGACACTATTCGTCGAATCGTAATAAAACGACACTTCTGCTCCCGTGTAGCGAATTTTGCATATAGATTTGTAATATTATTATAGCATGTATAGAGAACACCTTTTACGCATACTTTTTATGGCATACTTAACTCAAAATCGAAATTTTTTGAGTTGTGTATT